TCTTTTGTTACTGATTTCAGTTCATTCTATTTTCCAGGTTTGTTTACAGTTTAAAACTTGAGTTACTCGATGTAGTCAATATTCAATTTTCAAGAACTACAACATTTTTCATTTATAGCAGATATTATCGATGAAATCCTAATTATTGTACGGCCGACACTTTATTCTTCTTTCTTTCTTCATCCTCGCCTTTTCCCGTGTTTATATGGGGTTCCTTCTCTAATACGTTTCTTCCATTTCTTCTTATCAAGGGCTTCTTCTCTCTTAAGTCCGGTTCGAGTCTTCTTCACCTTCTCTTTCCAACGCATCTTTGGTCTTTCTCTTTTCCTTTTATAACCAGTTTTCCGATCTTCTGTCCAGCATAATCGTCGCTTCTTCGCTCTACGTGGCTAAACCACCTCGACCTCTGGCTGAGTTTCCAGACGAGGTTCGAACTCGAGTAAACCGTGAAATTCTTGCGCGACACAAGATGTAAACAACGAGACTCGGGACGGTTCGAGTATGTGTCAAACTATCTGTCAAGGTCTTAGCGGAAGACAAACTCTGACACGAGCTGACATCGACTCGCGAGTCTATAAAATGTTGGTCGAGATAACCTTTTCGAACAAAAAAAGAGAGAATTTTTTATAGATGAAAAATGAAAATGATCGTTAAATTCTTGGACGTCAAAAAAATGGTAAACAACGGATTGAGTTATGAGTGCGGGAGTTATTGTTTTATAAACGGTCATCGAGCAGAGTCGACAAAGAGGTATCGGATGGACGCCTCGAATCGGACCTTTCCCGCCACCCGAAAAGGTTTCGTCTCGCACCTGGAGACAAAGGAGAGACCAATCGGGAAGCGAGGAATGGGACGAGGGACCAATCCGAAATGCGTATAGTGGGGAAAAACTATAAAAATCGTAACTTCGAGGTCGAAGGGGAGTCTCCTCTGGATTAAGCCTACAGTTGTGCTTTGGCTATTGTGTTGCGCTACCGCCAATCACCTAGGACGCCGCAGCTTAACACCGAACATCTGCCTCGTCCAGCGATCTTTCTCGTCCGCCCGGGCTACGACCGATCACCCGAACTCTCACTGTTTCGTAGGATCACCGAGATTTTGGAATTGTCCAATATCGATGTAAGCGTGAATTCGAACAAATAAACGGGTTTTCCATACGCGGTTTTCCTTAGGCTCATTCTGACGCGGGATAAACTGTACTCCCCTTAAAGTCGGCAACCTTACAATAGTACAGTAAAACCCATTAAGAAGATATTAGAATGTGTATGGGGACACGATTTAGTTCAACCACTTTGACTTAAATAACTAACTCCTGTGTTAAACGATCTGACTCTGATTCTCACCACTCTGACCACAGAATTATTAGGCTTCAAACAGGGTGAACAAAATCGTGCCACACACACAAAGTCTAACATCCACACGTATAGAAAATAAACCTGGAATATTTTGCATATCTCGAAATTTCGAGATGTCTTGAGTCCAAAAATGTAAAAGTTTGGGAGGGATCATTTTTTGACCCAGCGCTACACTTTTCTTCTGTTATATAGCCTATAACAGCCGAAAAGTAAAAATTATCGAATACATATTTATATAGTACTTAGAGAAGTCTTTTAACTTTGGAATAAAATGTTTGTATGGTGTATCTTTATTAAAACTCTATTTATTGTATCTTTTATTCTGAGATCACGTGATGACGTCAGAATTTCCGGGTCTCTTTCGGCAACAAGTCTGCCCCTGGCCGGAGTCGGAGTCGGTAGATTTTTACGCGACTACACAGCCCTGCGCATAACACACCGCTCAGTTTCCTCCAGTTCGTCTATCCACATTGAATTCTATGCTGCATCTCCGAGTTCAATCCTCCTCCCATCTCGACAAATGTCCCGAGATATTTAAAACTCAGAACAAAAGGGAACGCACATTTTTGTTTTCAATATTACACTCCTCTTTACCATTCGGAGTCATATAAGCTGTTTTAGTTCTGCTAGTCTTCGTGCCCCTTTCTTCCAAAACTTTCCTCCAATCTTCCAGTTTCTTCTCAGCCTTGGTTTGGGAAAGTTCGCACGACACAATATCGTCCGCCAACGGCGTACTCCACGGAGCCTCACACTTCACCTCGCACATCAACACGTCTATTATCGGGTCAAACAAATAAGGGTTAAGGGCCGATTCCCGATGTAAACCAACATTAACGAAGAACCCTTCTGTAGTGCCCACATTGCTCCCTCGTACATTTTCTTGACGAGCCTAACATATTTCTCCGGAACACTCTTTTCCCTCAAATATCTCCATATCTCTTGCCTCGGTACCCTATCATACGCTTTTTCTAGATCTATGAACACCGTGTGTGTATGCCAGAGTTTCTTTATAAGGTATCAATTCCCTCCTTATCCAAACCTCTCCAAGCCTCAACCGGAATCTGGTCAGTGCCTACTGCTTTCCCCATCTTCATTTTCCTAAGCATACTTTCCATTTCTTCTCTTTCTGGACTAAACTTTCCTCGCGGGGAATCGGATCGGATGTCGCCTGTAAAGTCAACAATCAGGTGGGAAAGTTGACACAGTTGCGAACGAAGGCAGTCCTTTACGCAACGACTCTGCAAAGAATGAAAGTCATCTAAACAACGGACGATCGAGTGACTCATTTCTCACGACAATCGTATAAAAGAGACAGCCACCGGAAGCTCGGGGCGATCGAAAAAGGAAGTTGTTTCGGTTGTCGTGTCCATTTTGGTGTCCCGGTACCGCGAAGACAACGGTAGAAGACATCTAGGACTTTCACAGCTTCCATACTCGAACGATCGTGGCATACACCTCTCCATTACGACTGAGAAGTATTTTGGGGCTAGAAAACTCTGTAAACTCTCTCCGCGATATAGAACTTAGACACGCCACATAGAGAATAGATAGGTCGCTGTCCTTTTGTTAAGAGTCTATATTTTATCCGCGTTTAACCGCATTTAACCATATTTAGCATTGTTTATATTCCTGTACTTTAAGATTTAGCGGTTAAATAAATGCTTTGTGTATTTGTTAATCCGTTAACCCGTCTTATTAAGTCAAAAGGACGACTCGCCCTAGCGCTCCCCACTCGAAAAAGCTTTCGTATCCATCCGACGACCCCCAGGTCGGATTCCGACAGCCCTGCAGCGTGGTGATTAGGGATTGCCCCAGAAAACGCTATTTCAGCGTTTGCTTACTACAAAACCCAAATTGGGTCGGTTTGACGCAGCAAGGCGCCACACGAGCAATCCGTCAAGGTGAAGTGCCTGGCGGGAGGACTTTTCTACGGGAAATCGGCCCATATTTTGGTATTAGACACGCAAAGAAAACTAAATCGTCGAACGATCAATCCGAATCCGATCAATTATCAGCGTTTGGTGGTGTTTAGTCAATCGTGGGCTACTGTTTACTAGATATACGTTGACTAGAACACCTTCAAAATTTCAACAAATGCGAGTTTCCAACGTATTAATTAATACGTTTCACACATCTTGGTGAAGAAAAGCCCTCTTACTGTCTACAATGCAGCAGAAATAAAAAATATACGTAATATGTACATCGACACTTTAAGTGTAATAAGAATCAAAGATATCATTTGCCCGTTATCAATATGTAACAAAGAGTTGGGTTGATAGGGATGGATAAAACTGTTATTAGGCGATCTGTCGCAATATTTTCTAGGAATTAATAAACGTCTATAATCGGATAGAGTTTTTATACCAGTAAAAAGTTTAATTCGTATTATATTACGTCAGATTTTGCAGAACGGGGGTTAAATGTCCAGTAAAGTAAATGAATTTTTCTTTTTTCTCACCCTTTTATTTTTAACGGGTGTAATAAATTTCTATTGTTTCGTGTAACTCGGGTTTTATTCCGTAAAAAGAATATACAGGATAGAAAATTATTTATTATAAGAATTTTAAAAAAAATCTACAATAAAGCTGCAAACAACGGCCATTCTGTCTCGTCAGTGACCGACTGAATAAAACCACGCAACAGTTTGGTCACGGATTCGCTCTTCGTCGGGTCTACGACACCTTAATAGGGGTCAGTTTGCCAAAAAAAAAAGTTTTCTCGGGTGGCATCACTTGTTCCATCGGTCCAATCCAACGGTCATTTTTTTGTTGTTTTTGTTTTTTTACTAATGCCCGTTGTTTCTAGATTCCCTGTATTGTACAGTACGACCTTCGCTTCCGTATTACACTAACTTATTTCATAAATTGTCTAATTTAATATAATATAAGACATTTCTACACTTTCGAATATAATAAATACATTATCTAATATGTAGGAAATTTGTGCTTTCAGAAAGTAATAAAGATCTATACTGTGTATATATTTACTCGTGCCCATCGTAGGTTCGACCATCCGCAATAGGATCGGCAGGGTGAGGATATAGCCTATATTTATAAATAAGGATAGGCCCGTGCGAAAGTTTACTGCAGCCACCATAAAGGGCAGACCCGAGAAGCGAATACGAAAGACAAAGTGCGTCCTTTCTCGTTTCAATAAATGCTAAAATAAAGAATGTCCGGCGAGTCTAGTCCCGAATTTACAGAACCCCTCCCTCACCACCCGGCCCTCTAACAATATAACAATAACGAAGCAATCTGGGTAGACATCGTTTTCGACTACTGGCACGTGGCCTACCTACTGTTGTAGTTTGTTTATATTTACTGCTGGCAGATGGCGAGTTTCAATTATAGGGTAACTTTCGCATCTGAGTACACACGACACGGAAAGACGAGGGAAACGGACGACGGTATGTGAGTACCAGGCTTTATTGCCAGGCCTGGCGTAATTCGTGATGGGTACGATTAAAAACACCCCACTAACGCCTCTTTCTTACGATTACTTTCGTAGTTAAAATTTAAAAAAAAAATTAGAAAAACTCATGTTGCCTGCCAAATGATCTTCACACGTTTATTGATCTTCACACATTTTGTAACATAGCCTTTTGCCTATTATCTCTATTGCAAAGCGTTTAACTCGGCAGTGCGACCCGCGTTAAACAACACTAATCATAGTATACTCGTTAGAAATTACATTAAACACCGCGTAAGCTTCTATATACTTAGGAATTAATTCATCTGTAATAAATTATTAAATTAAAACAAACAATAAATTGATTATTTCCACAATAATCTATACACATTTAATAGGGAAGGTGCATTGTTAAGCGTTTAATATCGGTTTATTTTCTTTAAAAAAATATATACGCTTTCTAACATTTCTATCGGGGGACTCCCCGGATTAAAAATACCATCGAAGCGCAAGCGCGGGACGATATATTATGATGTCACAGAGAGGAAGACGTCTATACGCAAGCGCGTCGGGATTTTCCCAGTAGAGGTATAAAAAGCAGAACCGTCGTCGGTACGGTGTTTTATAACACTATTCGGAGGTGATTTTACTCGATTTAAGCAAAGAAAAACGTAAGTTTTTGCTCACTTCTTCGAAATTAATTAATTTTCTTTCCCGGAGATGCGTAACAGAAATTTAATGCATTGGTAGGAGATGGTGTATCTAATAGAAGATTTTATTATACCGTCGCTACAAAGTGGAAGATTTGGGAAACTTCTCAAGTGGGACGACGAAAAAAACAGAATATTTAAAGTTTCCGTCTGTCATAAACGTAGCGGCGAATGGTCGGAGGAGGACTGTCGGGTGTTTGTGGTAAGTGTTTCTGGTGTTTACTTTAAAACTAACGGGTTATTTAACCGTTATTTATCCGTTTCCGCTCAACTAAACAGTGCAGAAATGAAAAGCGATATATCCATCTCGTGCGCTTTTGCCACCCAATTGGACATTCGATCCAGCGCTTAAAAGCCATGATAAGTTTCTATAAAATACTGCACGCTTCGTGGTTATTTATATATTTTCGTATAGACTTATAGATACGCGTAAGTTAGTACAGATGCGTAATCTGGTAATTATTTCGCTTCCAAAGTATGCGATTTTATAACGGTAGATGGCACAACGGAAGTATTTATTTGGCGTAGTTTATCAACGTGGCTAACGTGTGACGGTGTCCGCTTCTAGGAGATTAATGTATTAAATACTACTTTATATCGTCTACGATTATGAACGATAACGGCTCTAGAACTTTTTCTTCCTATTCGTTCTCTCGCGGCTCTCGGCATTATTACCGTTCGAAATCCTCCGTAAGTACGCGTACTGGCATCTAGCCTGACGACGTCACTTTTTTAATTCCTCGAAGATTTTGCTAATTAACTAATTATAATTTAATGTCGGTTCTTCAAACGTAATAGTAAACTTCGATAATAGACTTTTCTTATAGACCGGCGGTTCTCGACCGGGGGTACGCGTACCTTTATAGAAGAAAATACTAATTCGCGTGTCGCCATCTAGCGAAGGGGGAGATAAATAGACAGACAAAAATCCGTTGCAGTTTTATTTAATTAATAAAAAATCCGTAGGTTTGATTAGTGGTAAACATTCCGGGGATGGTTAAGATGCTACGGTTAAAATTTAGTAACGATCGGTACGGTAGTTTGCACCATTAGTGGTCACAAACGAAAAATACGTTGTATCTTTATATAGTAGTATAGATATAGACATAGATATAGATATGGATAATTTATTTAAATCAAATTGAAACTGTGGGAGCAGAGATGTAAATTTCAATGACATATTTTATTCTGGTCCGGGTAATTGTCAGTATATTTTTAAAGATCTCAATAACCTGTAGTAAGAAAAACCCGCGCCAAGTTTGATTTTCTACGAAAGTCGTAAACAAACGTTTTATCGATTAATGCAGCGGATTCGATGTAGTGAATATTGTAGTTCTTGCCATTATTTTTTTATACAGTGTAGAGGAAGGGAAACATTTTTAATCGGAAGGAAATCTCAAGGTCGCGCGATACATAAGTGAGTAATTTAGTGTACACGCATCGATAATATGCATAAACCGTACTTACAAAAGACACGCGACGTCGCCATTTGTTGACAATCGGACGGGAAAACAGAAATGTCACGGAAACTGATAAAAATCGAAAAGATACAACGAGGATATAAAGGTTATTTATGGATTATAAGGATATAGAGGATTATATTTATGTATTTTTCTTTAATTGCAGGAGTGGGATAGACTAAACAAAAGGGAAGACAAAACGGAAAAAAATTTTTATACAAATTCCAGAGGAAGATTCATCAATGCATTGAACAGATTAAAGGAAAAAGTGAAACAGATGCCGTCTCCATTGAAGAAGAAGTACAGACTTTATCAACTGATAAATTACGAAAGTAAGTTGTTCATCGGCTATTTATTAACGTTCTTTTATGTCTGCAAAAGAATAGTTTCGGCCGTAATTTTGTAAAAACTGAAAAACTGCGCTGGTTATCGTGTCACGGTTAACTCTTTCTTCGATGTCATTGCATTTCTTCTTTTGGGCTTTTTGAAAGTGTCGAATATCCATTAGATTAGAAACGACATGACGAGTGTTACCGTACGATTAATTAACCTATGAACTCAACCCTAGAGTGATTTTTCGGGATTCTCGTAATATAAGGTCCACCCCTAAAATAAGCCGCGGGTAAGATCGTCGGCCGGATGGTCGTATTTAATACGTCCGTTGCGACTCACGACGGACGTATTCAATTATAAAGTAATAATATTAATATATAATTAAACATTAAATAATTATTATTACTGACATTAATACTTAAAATAAATAATAATATAAATTACAATTAACATCTAAATAGGGGCACTTTATGTAGAGAGTCCGGTTGCGTTACCATCTCGTAAAACCTGACCACGCTTAGGCCGATATAATAGAGTTTACTGAAAGGAACTTCTTGAATGTATGGATGACACGACCACCACCGACCCAGTGGATAAAACCACCCAACACTTGGTAGTTGGTCGCGGGTTTGCGCCCGTCCGACGGTCCGACTACGCGGAGTTTTCTGAGTATTTTCGTATTTATAATAATTAGGAGACAGTTTCCCATAAAAGTCCTCCCGGGAGGAATCTGCCTTCGGCGGATCGTCCAGGTATCTCCAAATAAATCAGACTTATCGATGATATTTTGTCCAAGATCATTTCTTACGTTTAACTTTTAAAATTTTATAATTGATTTTATGTATTACGATCAAATGTTTACGTATTATTATTTATTTACTTTAGTGACTGAAACGGAAGAACTGGCAGAACTGCAGAGAAGTGTAAACCAACAAAGTTCCTTGCAGACTGGAGAAGAAATATCAATCGTTCCGACGGGAGAATACGAGCAACTTCCCGAACCGGACGAAAGAAGTTTATTTCATGAGCTAAATGAATGGTCAGACCATTCAGTAAATTCAGTTAGTAGTTCAGAAAGCTCGTCTGTATTGTCCGAAAATGAAGATTTGTTGAATTCGCCATCGTCAAACGACACGCAATATGGCTTATCTCCTCTGCCTTCAGACTCGGAAATGTATTTAGATTTAATGCAGTTTATTGAAGAGCAGTTGAATTTTTCAACAGATACGAGTTCGGGAAGCGAGCAAGATTTAGATAATCTTCGGACGGATCTCTTGACAGATGATAATATATTATTGCACGATCCTCTTCTTTCTGAGAATAATCCAGGCAATATTGGTTCATTTTATGAAAATGGCATCACCTCTGATAATGTAAGTGGTAATATTTAAGTTTTACCATAAACTTTGAGTTTGTCGCAGTGTATTTCATTGTTTATTTCTTAATACAGAGACCGGAAAATCAGTCAGGGGAAAATGAAGTAAACATCTTTCTGGAATTTGACAGTAAGTTACATTTCATTAGCAAAATTTAATAATTTCCCGTGCTAATTTTCTTCTAACAACGCGTAGATGTTATATTTATAAAATAATATAAAATATAAGTTACATTTTATGTCAAAAATGTAGCAACGAGTTGTGTAACTTTTCCGGCAAGAAAGTAAAAATTGCGTGTGTCGCCATCTGTTACGAGATTTTGTTTTAAAACCTTCTTATATTGTTAATTATTATAAAATGACAAGAAGGTTAATTCCGAAAATAGAGACAAGGGTTTTTTTTTAATAAAAGCTATTATAATGGTAATAATGGTAAAACCACACTCGAAATACCATACGTGACTTCATCTATCCGACCACCGCTCCGACCTTTAACCACCAAAACTTAATAGCATGAATTCCTTTAATACTTAAAAAATATTTCAAAACTTACAGAAAGGTTTTTATCTTTATGTAAGTTTTGAAATATTTTTGATAAGAGGAACAGAAGTTATTAAGGTTTAAATTCACCCATCCACACGCATTAACTTTCATACATAGAGAAAACCAGGAATTTATTTTGAACTTCTCCACATTTCAAGGTTTTTCCAAGCCTAAAAGTGTAAATATATTTTGGGTCGTGGGTTAAAATTTCATTTTAGTCTCCTCGATAAAGTTGGCAGAAATTCTTCTAAGGTGTATCGATGGTGTTTACGCGATGCGCCGAATAGTGGAATCAATATAATTAAAATTATTTAAGATTTCTTAATAATTAGTTATAGTTTACTTTTATATTAAATGGAATTAATTTTATTTTATTTTAAATAGGTCCCGACCTCAGTACATTGCAATTATTTGAAGAACTAACACGGGATGCGAGAGAATGAAGGAGACATTCCCACCCGAGAGAAACAGTTGAGAACTTCACAGAACAGTTAAAAGAAAATTAATTATTCAAAAGACAATTTATGCCGTTTCAATTTGGGTATAGAACTATAATTATTGAATGGTAGGTTATTACGACTCGTTACCTGTTAAAAATGAGTTAAATTCTTTTAAGATTTGGCAATAATTTCGTTAGAAAGTCTTTTAAGTTTGGAATATTTTTAAAAAATTATATATGTTATTTTGAATTCCGAATCTGTATTTGATAGTGACAAATCCCAAAATTCATCTTTATCAAATACAGATTCAGAGAAACAAAACTAAAAATTGGACGAATGACGTTTGGAAAATAAGAAATTCCTTTATCAATCTTTACAAACTGTATAAAGAAATTTGCCTTATTTTCCAAATCCTGGCACAGGTTACGCCATTACTTCTCAACTTTACAAGATTTAAGTGTGCGAAACGTTTATAATTTTATTCCACTTTGCTGGTATACAGAGTGATCAAATGAAAACAGAATTGACGAGAGTGCTAAGTGCCTATAACACAAGAGTTAGTGGACTCTTAAGAGCCAGCAACGCTCGGCTACACGGAATGGCCTAAACGCCTCGGATGTGGCATGGGGCGTTTAGACGAGTGCGGTTCTGTTTTCGACCGCTCACTCGGTGTTTACAAATTATTTTAATTATGAAATGTAATTGAATTATAAAGTATAATAACACCAATTTCTTCTTTCTCGGCGCACGTAATCGCCGATATTCCCCTTTGCGGAGCAACGTCCGCAGATCCTCGGTAACCGTTGCGTGGATCGTTTAGAGCCGAGTTTGTTCAAAAGTAATTAGGAATGTCGGCGGTTTCGTGGTCGAATAAGGCAAAAATTGGTGTAATTTTACTTTATAGTTAGAATTTCCCGAAACCGTTGTTAATGAATTGTTTCGGAATGCAAAGATGATATTTGAGTGGGATTTTATCCGTTGCTCTTCAGTAGATAAATGCCTTAATGATATAATGTAGTATTCAACAAGCCTGTTATCGTGTTTTGTGCTTTATGTTACTCGTTCTGAANAGTAAAAAGTTTAATTCGTATTATATTACGTCAGATTTTGCAGAACGGGGGTTAAATGTCCAGTAAAGTAAATGATTTTTTCTTTTTTCTCACGCTTTTATTTTTAACGGGTGTAATAAATTTCTATTGTTTCGTGTAACTCGGGTTTTATTCCGTAAAAAGAATATACAGGATAGAAAATTATTTATTATAAGAATTTTAAAAAAAATCTACAATAAAGCTGCAAACAACGGCCATTCTGTCTCGTCAGTGACCGACTGAATAAAACCACGCAACAGTTTGGTCACGGATTCGCTCTTCGTCGGGTCTACGACACCTTAATAGGGGTCAGTTTGCCAAAAAAAAAAGTTTTCTCGGGTGGCATCACTTGTTCCATCGGTCCAATCCAACGGTCATTTTTTTGTTGTTTTTGTTTTTTTACTAATGTCCGTTGTTTCTAGATTCCCTGTATTGTACAGTACGACCTTCGCTTCCGTATTACACTAACTTATTTCATAAATTGTCTAATTTAATATAATATAAGACATTTCTACACTTTCGAATATAATAAATACATTATCTAATATGTAGGAAATTTGTGCTTTCAGAAAGTAATAAAGATCTATACTGTGTATATATTTACTCGTGCCCATCGTAGGTTCGACCATCCGCAATAGGATCGGCAGGGTGAGGATATAGCCTATATTTATAAATAAGGATAGGCCCGTGCGAAAGTTTACTGCAGCCACCATAAAGGGCAGACCCGAGAAGCGAATACGAAAGACAAAGTGCGTCCTTTCTCGTTTCAATAAATGCTAAAATAAAGAATGTCCGGCGAGTCTAGTCCCGAATTTACAGAACCCCTCCCTCACCACCCGGCCCTCTAACAATATAACAATAACGAAGCAATCTGGGTAGACATCGTTTTCGACTACTGGCACGTGGCCTACCTACTGTTGTAGTTTGTTTATATTTACTGCTGGCAGATGGCGAGTTTCAATTATAGGGTAACTTTCGCATCTGAGTACACACGACACGGAAAGACGAGGGAAACGGACGACGGTATGTGAGTACCAGGCTTTATTGCCAGGCCTGGCGTAATTCGTGATGGGTACGATTAAAAACACCCCACTAACGCCTCTTTCTTACGATTACTTTCGTAGTTAAAATTTAAAAAAAAAATTAGAAAAACTCATGTTGCCTGCCAAATGATCTTCACACGTTTATTGATCTTCACACATTTTGTAACATAGCCTTTTGCCTATTATCTCTATTGCAAAGCGTTTAACTCGGCAGTGCGACCCGCGTTAAACAACACTAATCATAGTATACTCGTTAGAAATTACATTAAACACCGCGTAAGCTTCTATATACTTAGGAATTAATTCGTCTGTAATAAATTATTATATTAAAACAAACAATAAATTGATTATTTCCACAATAATTTATACGCATTTAATAGGGAAGGTGCATTGTTAAGCGTTTAATATCGGTTTATTTTCTTTAAAAAAATATATACGCTTTCTAACATTTCTATCGGGGGACTCCCCGGATTAAAAATACCATCGAAGCGCAAGCGCGGGACGATATATTATGATGTCACAGAGAGGAAGACGTCTATACGCAAGCGCGACGGGATTTTCCCGGTAGAGGTATAAAAAGTAGAACCGTCGTCGGCCCCGTGTTTGTAACGGCATTTATAACGCTATTCGGAGGCGATTTTGCTCGATTTAAGCGAAGAAAAACGTAAGTTTTTGCTCATTTCTTCGAAAATAATTAATTTTTTTACCCGGAGATGTGTAACAGAAATTTAATGCATTGGTAGGAGATGGTGTATCTAATAGAAGATTTTATTATACCGTCGCTACAAAGTGGAAGATTTGGGAAACTTCTCAAGTGGGACGACGAAAAAAACAGAATATTTAAAGTTTCCGTCTGTCATAAACGTAGCGGCGAATGGTCGGAGGAAGACTGTCGGGTGTTTGTGGTAAGTGTTTCTGGTGTTTACTTTAAAACTAACGGGTTATTTAACCGTTGTTTATCCGTTTCCGCGCAACTAAACAGTGTAGAAATGAAAAGCGATATATCCATCTCGTGCGCTTTTGGCACCCAATTGGACATTCGATCCAGCGCTAAAAGCCATGATAAGTTTCTATAAAATACTGCACGTTTTTTGGTTATTTATATGTTTTCATATGGACTTATACATACGTGTGTGAGCCCGCGGGCCTATCAACGGGCCCGAGCGTAGGAATGAGCGAATTTCGCGCAAAATTACGACTATGTAATTTAATTTCTTAACGCGATTGTTAGGAAAAGCAACATCGCTATAGAAGGGATCGGATGACGTTCTCTCTAAACAAACGGAGAGGAATTTTGACAACAAGGTGGCAAAAGGAAAACATTATTGTGAAAGAGGGACTGCTGCTATTAAACGTCATCGGAAGAAACCTATGCCCGCACCTGGGAATGAACCTTCGACCTGTCAATAGTCGATCGCGCGATCATTTTCCCAAGCATCGAGCGTAAAAGGTGAAGACACCGAAGTTCCGGAAGGTCGTCCCGTACGAAGTTCGAAGGAAGACGAATAGATTAATTAGTGCCCGGAGTAATCGACGACTAGGTGCCAAGTTCGGCGGACCTCCGCCAACGGACTGTCCCGTGCGAGTCAACTATAAGAAGACCCGCCATACAATCGCCAGTCCTCTTCGAATTCTTCTCTCCCCCATGGAACGAACGTCATCTATCGAATAATTTGACCAACGAATATTGAGTTATCTATAGATTATTGTAAACTCTGAGCGGAAGTAGCGACGGAGCAAGGTCATTAGGTCAGTGTACCGGCTGATTAGAAACTTTTGTCAATCCAGTCCGTAGGAGTGTATATGTAACCTCATTTAAACCGCATCTAATCTTAGGTTTAGTTATATAATAAAGTCTTATTGTCTGTTAAAAACTTGTCTCCCGTCACTCCAAAACACGGACACCCGTCGACTTTCCCAACCCTTTCGCCACTAGAAAAAAAACCATCCCAAAGACAAAAAGGGCTCATTCCCTTCGCCCGTATTCTCGCACGTGTAATTTACAGTAATACCTGGTAATTATTTCGCTTTTAAAGTATGCGACTTTATAACGGTAGATGGCACAACAGATTTACTTCCTCGGCGTATTTTATCAACGTGGCCAACGTGTGACGGTGTCGACTTCTCTTCTAAGAGATGTATCAATTTGACCCCTTAAGGACGAAACTGTGGGAGCAGAGGTGTAAATTTCAATGACACATTTTATTTCGGTCCGAATAATTGTCACACAATTTTAAAGAAGATTTCAATAACCTGCACTAAGAAAAAAAAACCCGTGCCGAAAGTTCTACGAAAGTCGTAAACAAACGTTTTATCGATTATTGCAGCGGATTGGATGTAGCGAATATTGTAGGTCTTGCCATTATTTTTTTATACAGTGTAGAGGAGGGGAAACGTTTTTAATCGGAAGGAACTCTTAAGGTCGCGCGATACATAACTGAGTAATTTAGTATACACGCATCAATAATATGCATAAACCGTACTTACAAAAGACACGCGACGTCGCCCACTTTGTTGACAATCGTACGAAAAAACAGAAATGTCATGGAAACTGATAAAAATCGAAAACAAAACATATAACGAGGATATAAAGGTTATTTATTTAAGCTACGTAATTTTAGGAATAATGATAATTAGTACAGTATAAAAATGTTTAAAACACAAAGATTTGACGTACCAGCCACCCTCTACAAAATGAAATTCGTTACTTTGGACCTGGTTAAATTAATATATGATTAATCGTAACAACTAGGACGTGGCGATAGAATTGAGGTGAAGCCGGAAAGAAAGAAGCTATCCCCGCACTCGTTGAGCGCGGAAGAACAAAGTAATCCTCGTTAATTGTTTCCTTCTCGTGTTTTGGACGTTTTTTGCGCCTACCTTCGTTTAGGCGCACGCGATACTATGTTTAATT